TTTTTTTTTTTTTTTTTTTTTTTTGTGCACTTAAATGTTTTTTGGAATTCAGCTCACCCATAACTCCATGATGTTAACAGTGGCAAACCAAAAGAGTCATAGTGGAGAGAGTAGGGGGACTCAACTCCCGATGTTCTGGTGTTCCTTTGGATTACCACGTGGTCACCATCCCTCTTCTCAAACACAGTAGATTGTTCTCACAGGATAGTAGCGTCACGGAACCCGGCGCTTCCTCCCAATGTCTCACACCAGGGTTCCACTGTTGCGGTCATAACGAGGTGTGACCTGGGGGAAGCGAAGGGTGGCGTACTCGGTAGCAGCTTCCGAGTGCAGGTGTTTCACCTTCTTCCGAGAGGATGGCTGCATTTGGCTGAGCACATGAATGTCGGCGTAATGCAAGTTGTTCTCCTCCGGTGTGGAGTCTGAGCTTTTCTCTTGAGATACAGGCGGCTGTAACACTTGCTCATACATTGGTGCTGTTGTTTCATAGCCCTGGTAGAAATCAACAGAATTAAGGGAGGCTTCCATGCAGGGCCGGTTAGACTGCTGTCCCTTTATTGTGCTCCTTTGGGAGGCTTGATAACACAACATGAGTTCCTGTTTCTCTCTCTCTCTCTCTCTCTCTCTCTCTCTCTCTCTCTCGTGTGTGTGTGTGTGTGTGTGTGTGTGTGTGTATACCCCGGGAGAGGGTCCCTGCATTCCACCTTGTTTGAGACAGGGTCTTTCTTGCTGTTTGCTGCTGCATAGGCCAGGCTAGCTGGCTGGACAGTGTCTGGTGATTTCCTTCTCTGTTTCCCATCTCCCAGAAGAGATGTGCTGGGATTTTAGAAGCTTCTGCTACTGCCTCTGGCTTTTATGTGAATTCTGGAGATCTGAACTCAGATAGTCAGGCTTGCACGTACGTGCTTTACCTGCTGAACCGTTTCCCCAGCCTGACAGAGCAATTTCTAATGAATCTGTCTTGGGGTGAAAAAGCTGTGCACTGGAATCCAACATGTGAGTGGGCCAGAGGGAGGACAAAGGCCTGTTGTTACCTTTGTGCCATTCTGTAGTAGCTGTTGCTGCTTCAGTATGCTCAATGTGGGTCTTGCTTGGCTCTCTGTGGAGAAGGAAAACCAACTTAAACTCATTCTCTTTCCTGTCATTACTGAGACTGGCCTTTTCAAATGTCTCTCAGACTATGAGCGTGGGCATGCAGCAGATCCCTCTGGTTGCATTCCTACTTCTCTCACGTCTACTAACCTACTCCCAGACTCCTCCTCAGGATGTACACTCTGGCCCATTCCCTATCTGGCCGTCCTGTCTTTCATCCTCCCTGTTCACCAGCCCTCAGTTCTATAGTATGTGATAAGAGTTCATACTGTACTTGGCTCTGGGCCTTGCTCTGGGGGAGGTAAGGATGAGTAGACATTTCCTCTGCCTTGGGAAATCTACAGTGCACCTGGGAAGGGATAGGAGGCAACAGACTACTACAAAAATGTAGTACGTGCTCAGTTACACCAATGGGCCATGTTCAATCAAGCCATTCCCCACCCCCACCCCCACCTCCAAGCGTTTGCATGAGCTAACTCCTCTGTCCCTGCTAGCATCCTCTTCGTATTGACTTGTGAACTTGATATTTTATTCCTATGGCATCAGGGTTTTCTCCATGTTCAGTTATACCACCTATAGATAATATAATTATGTATTTACAGGAATCTGCCTGTCACAGTTGATTTTCGGTTCTTCCAGACTTCAGACCTTGGGACCTTCCCCTGGGCCTCTCTTCCTCACTGGGAACTTACAGAACTGACCTACACTGCAAGTGCTCAATTGTATTTTGTAAATAGACGAAAGCATGAGCAACCAACTCTAAAGTAGTGGGAAAGGTAACACCCACGGGCTCAGAGCTAGCCTCAGACTCAGTCAAGATTCTTTTTGTTCTATCATCTCCCTTTGTCTTGTCCGAGATCATGTCTCTTTTTATGCCTTCTCCAAAGATGCTGGCTTTACCGGTAGTCGTCTCTGATTTCCCTTGCTCTTAATACCCTTCCCCCATTACCTGTTTTGTTTTTCTTCTGGAAGGTTGATGGGCAGCTCCTGTGTAGAGAAACAGATCACCCGTGTGCAAGAGCTCTGTACATTCTCTCCATCACATTTGCTCTGTGGTCTCCTTCACGTTCTTGGGTGACCTTCCCTCACCACCCCAAAGATCCACTCCGTGACAGGGTCAGCCTGAACGTACTTGTCAAGGATGTAACACCTCTCTCCAGTGGATGGCTCTGGAAAGTTGAGTGGTAAAACTGACATAACCAAACCCAAAATACTGGTTTAGGCAACCAGGCACTACATGCCAGGGATGTTGCTGGCTTGTAGGCTATTCTGGGATTGTCTATCAAGTTAATTCCAGTAGAGGCTAAGGGAATTCTGCCAAATTATGGAATATATTCCTGGATCCAAGGCTGAGTCTTCAGTGATATTTGGAGGGGGGTCGGGAGGGATCTTTGGCAACCTGGGACTTTCATCCTGGGAGTTAGAGGAGCTGTCACAACCAGGGCTGCCTACTTAGGGCCCCTTAAAACTCTATTCCAGTAAGTGACTCTCCTTCCTGCTTCCCTGTCCTTGTTTTTAGTTAACAGACAAAGTGTGAGATGCTTAACCTTTAATGCCCTCTGGAGCACTCTGACTACAGAACTGGGAACACTGAATTTGGGGAGTGACTCAGCAACCTTGCTCCTGGGGTCCCTAGTGGAGCCTGCATGTCTACATGATTTCAATGACTGATGCCCAGGGAAACAGCCCTTGTCTGAGGAAACAGGGTGAATAGTTTCAGACTTACTCTGGGTGCCTATTCTGGCTAGTATATTTCCAAATCTCACCATAGCCCTGTCTGTCTGGCTTCACCTCTCCTCAGGAAGTTCCCTTCTCTTGGAAATTAAAGAGAAAGGAAAAGAGAAACATGCAGACATCTAAATCATGTTGACTGTACTACTGTGGGGGTGGGGAATTGGGTTTTTTCCACACACACGTTTGATAAAGAGCTCTGTTTTGGAGTGATTTTTGGAGTGAAGTTCTGAGACAACTTTCTGAGAACCAAGAAGTCAGTCTTTAGCTAAATGCTAAAGGTGGTGTAGCAGGAAACCGATTTCTGCCAGTCTCTCATCTTCTTCCTCTCCTTCTTCAGCTCTTGCTTTGTGTTAGGACTGCCTTATCAGAGCCTGATAATAGGAATCAATGTCTTGCCCCTTGTCATTCCTGTTTTCCTCCTTGTTTCTATTTAACTGGACAGACAGAATATTTAATTAGGGAATGCATGACTGCAGCCATCCAATTTTAGTAAACAGATCCTGTTCTTAAGTTGGATATTGCATAGAACCTGGACAGAACCTGATAGTCATAGGTGACAGAACTGGTTATAGATTAGACTTAAAGAATCTAAATGGGCCGTCATCCACAGCGGATGTAAGAATAAAAATAAAAACAATCATTTCAGAATGCAGTTAGCAACAAGGATAAAGATCCTTCAACATAAATGCATATACTGCCTGATATAGCAATCTCATGTCCCAATACATGATCATTCATAGATAGACATGGATTCTTATTGTGGTATTACAACTTCAAAATAGGAAACATCCTAAATGATCAATATTGATGAGTGACTAAGTAAATGGTAGATATAGAAGGTGGCAAACTAAAAAGTCAGGCAGGGGAGACAGGTGAAGCATTGTGAGTTTGAGGCTAGCCTGGTCTACAAAGGGAGTCCAGGATAGCCAAGGCCAAGGCTACACAGAGAAACCCTGTCTCAAAAAGTCAAAAAGCCAAAAAGCCAAAAAAAAAAAAAAAAAAAAAAAGGTTCTGGAAGAATACCTAATAGTATGGAAATTTTCACTGCTTATTAAGCTAATAAAAAAATATGCTGTGGGATTAAAAACTGCATGTTTAAAAATAATATGAAGAATGGCTCAGTGGTTAAGAATGTTCTTACAGATGATCCAAGTTCAAGTTCAGTTTCCAGCATCCATGTCTGGTGATTCACAGACACCTGTAACTCCAGATCTGAGGCATTCAATGCCCTTTTCTCCCCACCCACCAGACACATAATTAAAACTAAAATATTAAAATACAGCATGGGAGCACATGAAAATGTTATTGTTTTTACTGGGTGCTTGTACTTATGATGTCTTTCTCTCTCTCAAGGTTTATTTTTCTATTAATGTGCATTGGTCTTTTGCCTGCATGTATGTCTATGTGAGAATGTTGGGTCCCCTGGAACTGGAGTTACAGACAGTTGTGAACTGCCATGTTGGTGCTGGGAATTGAACCAGGGTCACTCTAGAGGAGCAAACAGTGTCCTTAACTACTGAGCCATCTCTCCAGCCCTTTATGGTCTCTTTTTATTTTCTACTCTCTTATTTTTCAAACTTTCTGCAGCAAATGCTTATTGCTTCTGTCTCAAAAACTGCAATAATGAATATTCTATAGGAGAAATTATCAGTTATCATACTATCTTTAGGTCTGGGGTTTTAATGTGATTAGAAAAAATTGTCCAATCCTACTTGTGTTTTAAGATGCATATTAGATTTTGTTTAGAATGTTTGGCATCGTGTTATTTCAATGGGCTCTGGAGTTAGAATGACCATTTCTGAATAACTGTGAGACTTTCCACATGTTTTTAACCTCCCTGAACCTCCACGTTCTTAGTAAGAGAATGAGCATTGTTAATAGAATCTAAGCACCATGGAGTTATTGTTAAGGATTAAATAAAATAGTCTAAGATAGTAAGCATAGCTCCTAACATAAAATGAACATCAACAAAAGCCAGGCAGGTGACTTGCCTGTAATCCCAGCACTTGGGAGGCAGAGGCAGGAGGATTGCCACAAGTTCACTACCAGCTTGGTCTATGTAGTAAGTTACAGACCAGTCAGAGCTATAGCTCAAAACCCCTATCTCAAAAATAAGTAAATAAGGGCTGGGTGTAGTGACACCCACCTGTAATCCCAGCACTGGGGAGGCAGAGGCAGGTAGATCTCTGTGAGTTCAAGGTCAACCTGGTCTACATAGAAAATTCCAGGACTACACTATCTCAAAAATCAAACAAAAAGTAAATAAATATATACTTATGCAAACATAGGCAAATATAAGCATGTATTTATTTATTTTTGTTTTTTTGAGACAGGGTCTCACTATGTAGCCTTGGCTAGCCTGGAATGTCCTGTCTCTGACTCTCAATTGTTGGGATCAAAGGGATGCACCACCAGGCTTAGCCAAATTTCCTTTTATTGCTACCGTCTGCATCTGTCACTTCCTGGTACAAAGCACATGCTCAGTAAATATTTGTTTAATAACCAAATAGATAAACTAGCAGGCACAGAACTCGAGTCCGGTATTGTTTTCAAATTGTAAGTGCTTTCCAGTGTATCTCCCTTTTCTCTTTATATTCGATGTTTACTTGTAAATAAATCATCTTTGAACTCTGCTCCAGACATGGAATAATATAGCTATGAGGCAGCTGACAGGATTAAGCCATATTTGGGAGTTTGTAGAAGTGATAAACACCCTGGGGGAAAAGCCACAAATTATCTATTATAGGGACTGTTTTTTTTTTTTTTTTTTTTTTTTTTTTTTTTAAGAAAGTGAGGCCCCAGAGAAATGGTGGGACCGCCTGAGGCCACACAGCAAATAGCATGAAAGTTACATTCACATTTTCCACAGACACTCACTCTCCTTCCCACTTTTGCCGTTTCAAACAATCATTTGTCCAAATCCAGTTGCTCAATCCACGATCACATCTCTGACTACCTCGTGAGGAAAGTATGGGCTCTGGAGTCCAGCAGCTGGCCTTGGAATCTTGCTTTACCTGCTAAGTGACTAGCCATGTGACAAGCATGTTTAGCTTCCCTGAGCCTTCACTCCTTGACTGGTTATACGATGGGAGCAACCGTTAAGACCACTTACTCACAGAAGTGTTGGGACAATTGAACGAGGTTATAAAGTGGCTGCATATAGAGAGCAGTCAAACGCTCCAGTTATTAAGATCTGAGGAAGAATGAAAAAGAGAGCAGCAGAAGGAAAGAAGATAGAAAGAAGGCCGGTCCCCGAGTCCAGCCACTTTACTGCTTGCTGTGTTTTCTAAGCGTCCTCAGGAGCTGGCTCTCGTGTTCCACCCAGGACGCGCAGGTGGAGAAAGGCACGGTCTCCAGGCTCTCTGATTCTCAGGGTCTCGTAGCCACCACCTGAGACGGTCCCCTCCGTCTTTCGGCCCTACTCACCAGCTTCCCCCACAGCACAGCCTGTTCCCCATGGCGGATGTGTCTCCCAGGGAGGCCAGCTGGTTTTCAGACATAAAGAGCTTTGCGCATTTCCTGGTTCCCGCTTGAGCGAACCGCAGCAGCTCCCAGGGACTCTCTGTCAGTGTCGGATTTCAACCAAGTAGGTTGGACCTTGGAAGCCACCTGGCGGAATCATTCCCAAGTGATTGCTCCCAGCCAAAGGGATAAGAAAGACAACGGGCTTCCCGGTGAGAGTAACCTCACCTTTGGGATTTGAAACTCCTTTTGATGAAGCTGCAAGCTTCGCGCTGCAAGCCTCGATTTATAAAGAAACCTGAGATACAAAAGAGCTCTGGGTTTCCAGAGGAAATGTTTCTCACTGTATCTCACTGCCTTTGAAATATATCCTGCCACACTCAGGTTTGAGTTTCACTGTCAAGGTACAAGTTTCATATGTTCCCAAAATGGGTTTGAATCCTAGAGGCTTTTGAAACCTGAAATGTGGGGAGATGGAATGCTCGCATAGTCTCAGAACTATAACGAATGCGCGCAAATCTAACCGTTAACCTTTTAGATTTCCAGCATGGCCAGGCAGAAGCACTCAAAGTATTACCTAATACACCGGATGGCTCAGGCACTCTGGGCGGAGCCCTCAATGTCATCTCCCCAGTTCAGGACTACGAAATCTCCACTTACCCTGCTTGGCAGCTTCTAATTGGACTCATTCCTCACTAGCCAGCAGCTACGATGCAGCTGAATAAATTTCCCTTAGAAAACGTGTTTCCGGGCTGGAGAGATGGCTCAGAGTTTGAAAACACTGTCTATTCTTCGAGAGGTCATGAATTTAATTCCCAGCAACCACATGGTGGCTCACAACCATCTTTACTGGGATCTGACGCCCTCTTCTGGCATGCAGGTTGTACATGCAGATAGAGCACTCATACACATAAAATAGATAAAAAATCTTTTTAAGAGGTACTGGATCTCGTTCCGCGCTTTAGTCTTGCCTGGATATGCTGTGCTTCCCCGCTTTCATTTGCAAAACTTGTAATAAAGATACTTGTGCAATAAAGATACTTTCCGCCAGGAAAAAAAAAATATTTTTAAATAAGAAAACATGTTTCCAGGTTGGGTATGGTGGTGCACGCCTTTGATCCCAGCACTTGGGAGGCAAAGGTAGGCAGATCTGGCCTGCCTGGCCCCAGGAACTCCCTCAGTAAGTCTTAGATATTTCTGCTATTATTACTTCTTGTTCTCAGCCAGTTATCAGACGGCAAAGCACTTTATTTCACTCTCTCATGTTCTAATCCTCACACCAACTTCTTTCCTGCAGACCATTCTCTATCCTGCTATGAACTATAGTCTTTTTTTGTTTTTTCATTTATTTATTTATTTATTTATTTATTTATTTATTTCTCTATTTATTTATTTATTTATTTATTTTGAACTATAGTCTTTTCATCCTGTAACCTGCTTCCCCTCATTGGCTCAAAAGCCAGTGATAATTTCCTGTTACTTACAGGATAGAATTCTCAAAGCCCTTCATAATCTGCTCCATTTCCAGTCACCTCTTTGGTAATTTACAGGAGTTTATCCAGATTTTTAGAGGGCCAGAAACTACACAGAAAAGACCAAAAGTACCTGATATGCCTTAACTATAGAGTGATAACAAAAGCTAATGACTATTCTATTGAAATCTGACCCAGTCAGTTCATGTCTGGAATAACTTTAGGCCTCTTGCTGCCTTTCAGGTTCTATTGTCAGTGTGTTACAAAAGAAAATTGTGTGTGTAAGAAGTGGAACAGAAAGTGCCTCAAGTTATGGCTGAACAGACAAGGCACAATATCAGCAGGGGAGGGAAGCTTTAGGAGAAATCAGACAGCACTGGCTGTGCCGGCCTGTAGAAAGCCGTGATGTCGTCAGTGACTGTCTGCTTTGATATGGGCTCAGGTGAAGGGCTGAAGAAGTAACAAACCTCCTTTTCCTTAACCATTTCCTTTAACTTTCTGCATGAAGATAAAAGCTTTTATTAATCTTATCGCTAATGATACAAGAAAAAGTCAGATAACTTTCCCCAAACAGCTAGAGAGTAAACATTTAAAATTTTACAGGCCATGTCATGTATTCTTTTATAATCTTTGAAAACATAACACACACACAGACACACACACACACACACACACACACACACGCACTCAACTGTCTTGGTCTGCAACTGTCAGTTTTCTGACCACTGCTATAAAGTATGTGCTTTGTCTTGTCAGAGAAACTGTTCTCTTCAGGCTTTCACTCACCCAGATGTAAGGCTCACTGAGGGTAGCCAACCAAAGACACCCATTCCTTATAATTTATATTTACAGTAGTTGTCTCCCATGCTTTATTACTTGGTCTGTGTATTACTTGACATTTACTGAACTACTAAATGAAGAGTAGAATATAATCAATGCTGTTTCTCTGAGGCTTGCTTTTTATTTTACTCATTCGCTATGAAGCGCTGGGGATCTAAGCAGAGCCTACACCTGTCAGGCAAGCAGCCTATTCCTCCAGGTCTTGCTTTTCTTTTTAAAAAGAGCTTTTTAAGCCGATAATCAAATTATTTAAAGAAGGGCTCTTACCTCCGGGGTTTACACATCCCTAAGAAGGGTGTGAATGGATCTCACAAACTTTGTTGACAAATTTCCATGTGTGTATTTTCCTGGTAAGAGGATTGATAGCTTTTGTTGGGTTTTAAATAGACTTTCAACCCCAAAAGTTAGGAAACAACCACATTAATGAAAGAATTTCAGATATCCGCCATACCCTGGAATATATATTCAGTCATATTCATTTGTAAATATATATGAATGGCTAAAAAGAAAGCTCTTGGACACCCCTCAAATCATACACATGCATGCATGGTCTCTTGATTGTGAAGAGATAAGTGTGGCCACAGCCTCCTCCCAACCAGCTGATGTTTCTGAATATATTGTACCCCTATCTTCACCTTCAGCCTTTCCTGATTTTTCACCACTACAACACGGCAGTAGTTGAGTCTTAGATTAGGTATAATGTTCCTTTCTACAGGTTACAAAGTCAGACACAATTGCTTTCTTGCATGGGTCTTCCCTTCCCTCATGGGAAGGTTTGTGGGTTCAGTGACAACGGTGGATTAATGTGTCTGTGTGTCTATGTATCCACACTCCTTGCCCTTCCCAGAGACCTTTCATTGCACAGCCAGTGATACGGGAAAGCAAAGCATTCACTCCAGAGCATCAGGCACCTCTCTCCAGCCAAAAAACATTTTCCTAACCCCTACCCAAAAAAAGGGCCAGACAGACTGGAGACCCTTGTTTTTGTGTCTCTAATCACCAGCTCAGACAGTGCCCTCTGGGCTGTTTGGATGGCGCATCCCGATCCCTCCCAGGATCACTTTCTCTTTTGTTGCATTGTGAGAAAATTATGGCTAGGAATTTGATCTGGAGCCAGTGTGAGCTTCCGGGTGTGATCTCAGCATCCAAGTGTGAGCTCAGGATGCTGAGACGATGGGCACATTTCACAGTGGAAATAGCTGCCTATGACTTTCTTCCCATCGGTTTGCCATTCGGTCTTCCAGGCCACAGAACAGGAGCAGCACAAACAAGGCCGCCGAGGTTTGGGGTTTATTCAGCTCCGCTCAGAATTAAAGCAAAGGCTAGGATAGATACATCAAGGGACCAAACCAAACACTGTGAACCACGCACCTATCCCATCCCCCGAGGACAGTGCTCCCTCTGGGCTGTGGTGGACTTCTGGCATCACCGCGGGAGGAAGACAGGGGGATTCGCTGGGTGCTGGGTCTACCGCAGGCAGTCAGGGCTCAACTCTGGGCTACCTCTTCCTCTTCCTCGGGATCAGGAGGCGCAGGCAGCAGGGAGATGTAGACCTCATTGACTTCCGTGTCTAAATGCCGGCCACCCCGAGGCGCCTCCAAGTTAAGGATACCATCGTGGGAGAGGGCAGCTCGGACTCGCCAGGGGTCCACATCTGCAGGCAGGACATAGGTGCGACAGAACTCTCGGGACACGAAGCCGTGGCGGTCCAGACGCTGGGGGTGTCGGGCAGACACCTCCAGCAGGTTGTCCACAGTCCTCACGGTCACCTCATCTGGGGTGAAGTGGCTCACATCCAGAAACGCTTGGAACTTGCCCTCACTGAGCCTGAGCTCTGAGGCCCCTGCCCTGCCGCCCTCCCCGGCTCTGGCGGCCCGAGGCCGGACATAGTAGCCATGGTAGAGGGTGGGGGTCAGGATCTCTTCTGGCAGGAGGCCTAGGGGCACAGAAAGAAAGAGAAGGCAAGAGGCAGGATGAGGGAGGAGGCAGTGGGCACAGGGCTGAAAGGTGAGAGCAGGAAGGGCAGGTGGGAAACTACTGAAGAGGGGCTGGGAAAAGAAATGAGATGGCAATGGAGTGTAAGCTGGAACTGGGAGGACAGAAGCGAAACCAGAAGTACTCGGAAGCATGGAAGGCGTACCCAAAGCGCTGTGGCTCGAAAGCCTGTCCGAAGTCTGTAGCAAGAGGAGAGAGCCTTGCTTGAGGGGGGAGTCTGGGGTGGGAGATGGCTCACCCCAGGAGTTCACTTAAGCCCCAGGTAGGGTGGAGGCCAGTGAAGCTGGGCGGTGAGCCCAGAATTTCAAGAGGTGGGGGTGGAAAGCATCTGGACCATACCTTCTCCGAAGCGCTGCTCGCCCAGGCGGCTGGGGTTGGCAAATTCGTACTCGGCAGTGGCTGGGTGGGCGTGTGGTACTGTGCGGCCCGACATGACTACCGCGGTTGCTACGAGCAGCCCTGATCTCAAGTGCAGCCCCAACAAGATCAGGGCGACCCCTCCAACTTCAGGAAGCGCCAGGACTCAGAGTGGGGGCGGGGTCTACACCACCCAAAATAGTGCCGAGCCTCTGGGGGAGGGCATGGAGCCTGGGCCCAGAGTGCAGCGATGAGGGTGTGATCTGCACAGCCTAGACCCCCCAGTCCCCTCCTCTGCACACCCTTCAGCTGTCGCGGGGGCCTAGGAGGACAGCTGAGGGTCCTGGTCCCGGAGAAAGACGGCGGTGCACTGCAGGAGATCAAGGCCTAGTTGGACCTTCACAAATTGTACAATTCCATATCACTCCTTGTCCTTCTAAGTCGCAGGCACTGTGCACACTACTTAAAAAAAAAAAAAAAAATGTAAAGACTTAAAGTTCCACTAGCCACATAGCATCAAAAACGCAAGAAACATTTTCTGTCTTTTTAATTCCAGGCTCTTCTGAACCTAGATCAAATCAGAGTTCCAGTCAGATACCTGGTCCTGATTTGCTGGCTCTCCTCTATGTATCCACAAAGAGTTAATGTCCCTGTGGCCCAGCCTAGGAAGATTCCAGTCCCTGCCCAGGCCCAAGATAGTTGCTGGCTCAATTCCCCTGGCATGCAAGACTTCAGAGGAGGAGGGGCACTCCACCAGCTGCTTGGGATTCCTGACTCTGTCCTTGCTCCAGAGAACAAGGGTGGGGGTGGGTGCCACTGGGTGTGGACAGAGAGCTAGTGAAACAAGACCATGACAAGTCCCTGGCTGCCCAGCCGTGTCTGTGTTTCTCTTTTCTTAGCTCAGTGAGTACTGGGTATGTGTCACCCTGCCAAATCCCCGATCACAAGTCTCCATGAGCGGGCGATGAGCCGGGATAATAAAACCCCTGACATCACCATTCCAGAAGCTTCACAAGACTGCATATATAAGAGGCTGGTCGGAGCTGCAGCTGAAGGAGTTGACCAGGCAACTGACCCTACACTCATCTGGCCACCATGGACATCGCCATCCACCACCCCTGGATCCGCCGTCCCTTCTTTCCCTTTCACTCCCCCAGCCGCCTCTTCGACCAGTTCTTTGGGGAGCACCTGTTGGATTCTGACCTCTTCTCAACTGCCACTTCCCTGAGCCCCTTCTACCTTCGGCCACCCTCCTTCCTGAGGGCACCCAGCTGGATTGACACTGGACTCTCAGAGGTGAGTCTCCCCTAGGCCAAGGCAGGACTGTCCTTTCCAGACACTTCATCTGTTTTCCAAAGCCGCTTTGGGCACATGTGTGTGTGTGCAAAGGTATAGAGAAATGAGGGTTCTGTTTCCTTCTTCCCTCGGTCCCCTGCTTCTGTTTGACGCGCCTCTGTTTTCTGTTACTTTTTTTTTCTGTATATGGTGAAGATCATCTTCTGTACCCTAATGATGAAGCAGGATACCCTTTCTGGTTTTATTCATAATGATCTGTGTTAAGTGCTAGTTCAACTGCTTCACTCATCTCTCTAATGGCCGTGGTCCTGGCAGATTTTATCATCTCAAACTGTAAAGATGAGATAGAAACCCACTCATCCTGAACTCTTCATGCCCCCTTGATGCCGCTGGAGACATCAATCAATATTGTCTCTCTCTTCCCTTGTCTATGCTCTTCTGGGTTCCTCGGGGCTACAGCGCACTGACCTCAGTCCATGCCTTAAGAGGAATGGATGTCTGTCCACTCTTGGGAAACCCCCGACTTGTCCTAACAGGGTGGGAGATAAGATTAGCAGAGGCTGTCACAGATAACGCTCTGGTTTAAAAATATTCCAGTGTGAGGAAAGAGCAGCTGAGTGGGCAAGGGCTTTGGAAGGACAGGACTGACAGAACATTCCAGATGGAGTGGGTAGGAAACTTGGCAGGGGAGCCGAACAAGAAAAAGGGGCCTTTGTCTTCTAGACAAACGACAAAGCCTGCACTGGGTAGAGATGCAGCAAAATCCATGCCCGGACCCATCCTGTGACTGGTCCCTAGTGACCTGTCTTCTTCCCTGTGCCCCTAAGTGGAGTTTGGGACTGATGGCCAAGAGGTCATCTCACTCTGTGTCTCACATGCACCAGCCACGATTCAAAACAGGGATTAATTTTTTAAGCAACCAAGAGGGGGATGAATTATCTGGACAGGAAGTAAATCTGCTGACAAATGAATGAGCCTTCTCCAATCTAACAAACATCCTACCATCTTCTCTCCTCCTCCCCGCCCCATTGTTATTCTAGATGCGTATGGAGAAGGACAGATTCTCTGTCAACCTGGATGTGAAGCACTTCTCCCCAGAGGAACTCAAAGTCAAGGTGCTGGGAGATGTGATCGAGGTGCATGGCAAGCACGAAGAACGCCAGGTGTGTGGACTTTCCCTTTGTCAGTTCCTTCAGTGCAAACTGGATGGCAGGCTCCGCCATCAGCGGACTTCCAGGCCCAAACAGGAGGGACTAGATCAGGAGTTGCAGATCAATGGCTACGAATCGAAATGAAGCTAAATTAGGGACAGATCTATGGGTAGTGTTGTGGGTTTCCTGAGCTATTTGTTTTGACTACCTGTCTTGTCCAGTGACATTAGAATATCGGAAGAATTTTCAAAATTTCCAACCCTCGGGTACACCCTGGGCCAATTGAATCTGAAGTTTTAGGGATATATCTCGGGCATCAACATTAAAAAACAAAACAAAACAACCCTCAGTCTGTAATCAAAACTGGCAACCATTGATTTAGGGGCAATGTGTTGCACATAATGGTTGTGCATAATGACATTAACTACGGGGTTGAAGGCATTTAAGTCTGTGGCTTTTAGATGTTCAGTGTTTCATGCCTCTTCTGCTCATCTTAATGCTAAGCTACTTGGTTTGTCCCCTTTTCGGAGCTTCAGGATTATGACCATGAGGAAGTCAGTTAATTGAGACCTGTTTGTGTGGCTGCTCAGGATTCAGGTCTAAGGTCTAAGGGTTAACATCAACAACACCTCTTGTAACCAGGAGAGGTGGCACACACCTGTGATCCCAGCACTGGGCAGGCAGAGGCAGGCTGATCTCTGTGCATTCGAGGCCAGCCTGGTCTACAAAGTGAGCCCAGGACAGCCAAGGCTACACAGAGAAACTCTGTCTAGAAAAAAAACAAAACAAAACAAAACAAAACAAAAAAACAGCAGCAACAACAAAAAACAACAGACCAAAAAAAAAAAAAATTCCTGTTGCATTTTTGGCAATTTTTGTCCTGACTTCCTGAAAAGGTGTTATGATACTCAGCTGGGTATGGTGGCTCACACCTTTAATCCCAGCACTTGGGAGGCAGAGGTAGGCAGATCTCTGGGTTCCAGACCAGCCTGGTCTACAGAGTAAGTTCCAGAAGAGCCAGGGCTACAAAGAAAAACATTCATTACCTATCTCAAAAAAATAAAACAATTAAAACTCAGGACCTGTGTCTAATTAGAGTATCTTAATGTCCTTAGGCTGTTTCAGTTTTGCTCATATGATTTAAAACTGGACCATAGTGTGCCTGATAGAGTCACCTTATATAACATCAGCAATCCCATGGGTTAGGGACATTCCAAGGCATTCTTGAGGAATTGAGACAACTTACGGCTTCAAGGACAAAGATCCTCGGTGCCGAAGTTCAAATTCTATGGGTCCAGCCAACACGGATTCATTCCTTTGTGGGAAGTGCCCTGGGTGTAATTGTGTCTCAAGAGATGAAAGATCTGTGAAGTCCCCGGCTGTTTTAGATTTCTTAGACTCTGACTGGTAGGTGTGATCATGTGGGCAATTTATTTTAGCCATAAGGCCTGGACAGACAGCTATTGACTTAGCTATCTGTATATTTGCAGTGTTGAAGATGAAGCTAGGGCCTTTTGCCACTAGGCTGTATCTCCAGGGCCAGATATTTCTTTTTTCCTTATGATACCAGGGCCATTTGGTCTAACCTAAGGGAGGGAGATGCCTGAGTCTCTGGCAAGTGGCCGTATTTCCTGTTCTTATTTCTCTGCTTCTTCCTCCATTCTCTTGGATTAGGACGAGCATGGCTTCATCTCCAGGGAGTTCCACAGGAAATATCGGATCCCAGCTGATGTGGATCCTCTCACCATTACTTCATCCCTCTCATCTGATGGAGTCCTCACTGTGAATGGACCAAGGAAACAGGCCTCTGGCCCTGAGCGCACCATTCCCATCACCCGTGAAGAGAAGCCTGCTGTCACTGCAGCCCCCAAGAAGTAGATTCCCTTTCCTCCTTGCATTTTTTAAAACAAGACAGTTTCCCATCAGCGAATGAAAATCTGTGACTAGTGCTGAAGCTTATTAATGCTAAGGGCTGGCCCAGATTATTAAGCTAATAAAATATCGTTCAGCAACACAGCTGTCTTGTGTTTGCATTGTCAGTGTGTTTTAAATACGTGTTCAGCTATAACAGATCTATCTGATTTACACACTATGATTCAGGGGATTCCAGGGTTTTGCTGGCCAGAATGACTGGCTCCAGTACTTCCTCGTGGGACATCCAAGAGAGCCACTCACTCTCATGGTATTCCAGTCTTCCGTTTGTAACACGCTGTACTAGTTAGAACAGAGTTGTAAGGAGATCAAGGAGAGAGAAATGGGTGAGGTCAAGTCTGCATCAGCTACAGCTAGCCCCACATAAAAGGTTTCAGTGCAACTCTGAGATTAATTACCTCACCAGGGAGACATGGTGACCTTAGTGTAATTTGTAAGCTAATTCACAGGATGGTAATAGGACATGAGGTGAGCAGCAAACAAGCCTCGTAGGTATAGTGGAAAGTACTCAACAGATACCCTTTAAACCAAGATTACACAATATCCATTCTCTCCCACAAACAAGTTTTTAAAAATCCAGCAACAACAAAATACCAAAAATCAAAGAACACCTTCCTCCTAAAATTTCTAAGCCCTGCAAGAAAAACAAGATAAAACAAAAAACATCACCACCACCAACAAACCCTCCCTAGTTTACTTTACTGAGCCCTACATGCTTTCTTGTAACTGTAGCAATATCTATTACCTCTTCTCTACTAGCTAACTGCTGGCTTCTAGTTTCACTCCAGAGGGTATCTTTTAAAGATTTTTTTAAGAAAAAATTTACTTATGTATACAATGTTCTGTCTGCATGTACACCTGCACACCAGAAGAGGGCACCAGACCTCATTATAGATAGTTGTGAGCCACCAAGTGGTTGTTGGGAACTGAACTCAGGACCTCTGGAAAAAACATCCAGTGCTCTTAACCTCTGAGCACTCTAGTCCCCAAGATTTTTCTAGTAATTATCTGTATGGGTGTGTGTGTGTCCCACAACTGGGCTGTAGAGACCAGAGGAAATATTTGGGAGTCTATCCTCTCCTTCTATCATGGATTCCAGGGGGCCAACTCAGGTTGCCAGGCTTCTATAACAAGTGCCTTTACTGGTGGGCCATCTTGCCAGCCCACAAAAAAAAAATAATCTTAAAGTTAGATAATTACTTAAACGGAACGTACAGTTTGGGAACTGATCATGCTTTTGAAA